TTTTTTATTTCAGTGGTCAGTTTAAACTTCCATTTATTTGGAGAAAGAGAAAGTATATTTTGACAAGCTTCCTTTGTACCAGTTCAGTTAAAATGGATTTTGACGTGAGAAGTTTCATGTTGTTCTTGCAAGTATTTTACTAAAAATGTTGTGCTGGTTCTATCATTTAGAAATCAAGTTCCTACTTTTATTGTTTGTGAACTTTTATGAGTTCAAAAATTTCATATTGTAGGATTACTTGATGAAAGTTGTTTCTACCTTCGAATGATTATAATTTTACCTATGCCTGCTTGTAGTTCAATCACTATAATGATATTTCATACATATCCAGTTTATGAGTGTTTTGAGCTAACTTAACTAAATGTCTTCTTATGAGATACTTTAGTGTTTATACCTTTATTTTTATTTAATTTGCAGCTGCATTAAGACGTGTATCCAGCTTTGAGGCTCTTCAACCAGCAGACAGGTTTTACACAATATTATTGTCAATTTTTTCGCAGCACATTTGGGAAGGATGAATTAGAAAAAGAAAAAGAAAAAACAGAAAAGACATAGGCATACTTTATCCAAATTGTTGTCGTTTTTGCGTTTTCTCAAAAAAAATATTTCAGTCCTAATAGATTTGAAATTTCTCAAATGAACTTATAATAATACTTTTTGGCCCATTCATTTTCTGATGCAAAAATCCATTCACAGGAGTCTCCCGACAGATTTTGTTCGACTGGATCAAGATATTCTGTCGCCACTTGCCGGAAAAAAGCAGTTATATGTGTATCAAACTTTGGATTTTTGGGAACAAATCAAAACTCCTGGGTACACTAATAACATCGATATATTTCATTTCCCTTTTTTTCCTCATTTTATCTAACTGGATTTTTTTTTCCTTCGTTTTGTGTAGAATGTCCTTGAAATGTTCTGGATTATATCTTGCCCAATTTAGGGTAACTTCACCTCAGCTCTTAGCAAGTGGAGATGGTACAAAAAAAGCTATAATTTCTGGCGATGTTTATATTCATCCATCGGCTAAAGTGCACCAAACTGCAAAGGTATTACAATTGCTAGCATTAAATTTTTAGAGTATTGTTGTTTTACTAAAAATTTAAATTAATTAGGAAATATTATTGCTTAAAGCTGATTTTTTGCGGTCTTTAATGCGAGACAGATTGGTCCGAATGTTTCGATATCTGCTAATGCTCGGATAGGAGCTGGTGTGAGGCTTGTGAACTGCATTATTCTTGATGATGTTGAAATCAAGGTAATAATAACAACCAAAAATCGCCTCATAAAAATGCTCGACTAATGCACATGTAATCATTTTCGCTCGAAACTTGATATTTTTTTATTTTTTTTTGAAAGGAAAATGCTGTCGTGATTCATTCAATTGTTGGATGGAAATCTGTCATTGGAAGGTGGTCAAGAGTCCAGGTCAGTTCAGACAACATTTGTCCTAATACGCCATTTCTTATAATTAGTTGAACCTTCCTGGAGAATTTTGAACTGAAAATAGCTACGTGGTATGTAGATTTTTAAGGCAAAAATTGTTGGTTTAACGCCATAGCAATTTTAGTCCAAAGGTTCCAAGATTTCTCTTTTTGGTCTGTGATTTAATATTTTGTTGCAATTTCAGTCATTTGAGACTGAAATTGCAACAAATACCAAATTCTCAGATGTTCAGTTACCAAATTAAGCCCTGTAATTTAATATTTTGTTGCAATTTTAGTCCTGTAATTTAAAATTTTGTTGCAATTTCAGACTGAAATTGCATCAAAATATTAGATCACGGGACCAAAAGACGAAAAGTTGGAATCTTGGGATTAAAATTGCTACGACTTTAACCAACACGACTAAAAAATGCATTTTGACGATTTTTAATTAGTATTGTTCTGGTAAGAACTTGAAAAAGGGGATGATAATTTCCCATGATTCATGTACTATGTAGAAAATGAGTGTATAAATTGCTTTGCAGAAATAATCACTAATTTGCAGTGTGGATTTCATATTAGGACACTACACATGATTACGTAGGATATAATCATTATTTAATCACGCATCCTACTTATTGGCTACTTTGATCTTCTTCTTGTGTAAAAAGTAATGTCTCGTTTTTACATGTTCTTAGCGTTTATTAATGGTATTTCAGGCCTCAGGAGACCACAACGCGAAGCTTGGGGTTACGATTCTTGGTACATATGATCTAGTTTATCTACATTAGTTTAACTTTTTTTTTTATCTCCCTCTTATCAAACCAATAATCAAGTTTTGTTATTATAGTTTATTATTATAAACATGTTTGTTTGGATCAGGTGAATCAGTGACAGTTGAGGATGAAGTTGTAGTGATCAACAGCATTGTCCTGCCAAACAAGACTCTGAATGTTAGTGTTCAAGAAGAAATTATACTCTAGACAATGTGTACTATGGACAACTATAATTTTCTGATGCATTGTTCCATTTTAAGTTTCTTTTATACATATTTGGTATCCGGGGACAGCGTGTAAATGACTTATTTCATTTTTGAATAAAAAGATTTTGATATAGAAACAGTTGTTAGTACTTTTGTGCTTCCTTTTTATTTCTTCCTTCTTTTTGCTATTAAATGGTTAGTATTGGTTTCATTTTGTACTCTGGAAATGGATTTTACAGGAAATAAACTTGTACATTACTTTCTATCATATTTTCAATCCCGAATGGTTGAAATACAAAATGGAGCTGAAAATTTGGGGGAAGATATTGAATGAACCCTAAGTGATGACTCAAACATACCGATTTAGGCTATGTTTGTTGAAAGTTATTCGATAGCTTATAAGTGAATTTTGAGATGACTGCAAATTGAAAAGCTAGCTGATATGATAAAAAAAGGGTTCAGTAGTTGATATAAGTCAACTGAAATAAAAATTTCAACAAGTTTATTTGAAAAGCTACTCAAGAAAGCTTATGAAGAATGTTTTCGATAAGCATCATAAGCTTGTTTATAACTTATATGGTTAGCTTATAAGCTTTGCGTATACAAATAAAATTGGTTTGGTAGAATGAGTTAATTTTAAAAAGCTCGAGCTTATTTAATTAGTATTTTTAGGTAGCTTTTAAAATAATTTCCGTTGCAATAAAATTTTCAACTTGTTAGCTAATTTTATAAAATATTTTTACCATATCAGCTAGTTTTTCAGCCATGAACCATAAACTAAAAATTCACTTATATCAACTAATAAGTTAACTCATCAACTAGATTTACCGAACATAGCCGAACTAAGCTCGAACTTTTAAAAAAATTGTCTGACCAAATTAAGATTATTTGAAATCGCTTATGGTCCTTATCAAACACACGCTCTTAAAGGAATCCCAATTCCCAACCAAACAAGACTGGCCCTCGATTCAAATGCCAAGGATAACAAACCATGCAAACACGCACATTTTAATACACGACTAACATAAGTCATCAATACAACATGAATATAGTCCTCGTTCGCCATTCTTACTCAAATACAAACACACGAGTCTTGATAATAACATGAAACAGTCGCCATGTTTATTGTTTACGGATTCATAAGAACATTCTTGTTAAACATATCGTCTTAACACATTCTTTACAAATTTTCAAGACCCCTTTTCTAATTCTTTTGCGGGTCTGTAAAGAAGCTGTTGATGGATGGCATAATCTCAGGTCGCTTGTTACGAACGAATTTTCTGAGAGCATGTTCAGAATACTTTTGTCCCTCTTCGAAATTCTCAAGTACTCCAGCTGCCCTGCCTTGCTTGTTCACTCTATATTACATTAACAGCTGATAGTTAGTCCAAATAAATAAATAAGTCATTTATTCCCTTATTAAGTCCCACATTTGTTAGAAACACACAAGCCAGTTTTTATCTCAACTAGTTCAACTTTGAGGCATACATCATCATTCAATGAAGTTCAGCAAACATAACGAATTTTTTTCCAATCAAGTTTAAAGAACCATACATTTGAATGTTTGACAGGATTGCTAATACATTCTGAAATAGATATACTAAGATGGAAGTGATTGAACTCTTACTCTAAGGGGAAACCTTGCAGGAAAAATTTGGCCAAAGAACATTTTTTTTCTCTTCTAAGTTTTCAGAACATTGCTCAAATTTCGAAGATGTAAGTCTAATAAGGAATCAAGAATTAGTTTTCTGTTTTCCCTTAAGTAGTCCTTTATCTTCAATTTTACACTAAATTCAGTGGGGGTTCTTCAAATTCTAGCATCCAGTAAAAAGAATGTAAAAGGGAAAAGCAAAATCAGAATCCACCAGCAAACTATGTATCCAAGCTCTATCTTAGCTTGGACTACTTTATTATTAGATGGGAATATTCAGAAATCTTTAAAACATAGCAGAAAATAAGGACAATAACTGAGGCCATAAAACAACCTTCAAAATAATGTTCATCTATGAGTCATGACCCCAAAAAAAATCAATATTTTTTTCAATCTCCCCAATAAAAACACAACTTTGAACCACGCCTCAGAAAAATACTCTTCCAATTCACCTTCACATATACAAAACAGTCTTTTTGTGTGTATTAAGTTATGCAGAGAGAGAGAGAGAGAGAGAGTACCTGACTTCAGGGTTGATACAGATATTGCGAACCAGTTGAAAACTACAAATGCCCACAGCAACTCCCATGGCTGCAAACAGAGGATACACCTATACATGCACATATACACACACATTTCCATTTCAGACAGANAAAAAAAAAAAAAGGAAAAAACAATTCAAATAGCTGACAAAGAAGAAAGATAGAAAGAACCTCGGGCCTGATCCAACGGTTAGCAGCCATCTTCAAGCCTCTCTCTTTCTCTCTCTAAACCTTGTATGATGGTCCAATTTCAGCAGTAGAGATTATGAAGCAGAGGAGGAAAAAGAAAAACAGTGGGCTGTGTAAAGATTTGATTTTTTTTATTACTTTAGTGGTTTCATTATTGCTCCAGAGTAAGGCATTTTAATAATATTATAATTATTATAGCACAGATAAGGTTCTTTGAGTTGGGGTGAGGAAGAAAGCTGATTGGCTCTTTGGTGGGAGCTGGTTGGTATTGCGGGACCCATACCTGCACCAATGCACGATCGACGCGTGTCCACCACTTTAAAAAATATGCTTTTTTTTTTAATGTCATAAATACCTTTGTCTTAGCTATTTGGTTTGATTATTTAAAGAATAATTTCTCATCTAGTTGAAAATGTTGATGGATCTTATCCATTTGATACTTTATTTTGAGTCTTTCGTCAAACTATTTCCAAACCAAAAAATATATTAAGAAAGTTAAATATAATATTTTGTACGTAATATCCAATAATTTTATCTATACTCAAGAGATTATTCTTATTAATTATTTTTTTATGAGAACATTTTATACATTTTACGGCATTTAGGGCCTAATTGGTTAAAAATTATTTTAGATTTGATTAAATTTTTGAGTAAAATGAGTTAATTTAAAAAAAAAATTAATTTAATTTGAGTAGATTGTGTTTGAATTTAAATAATATTTAAAATATAATCATTAAAGTTGATGCGTTGTAAAAGTATGAAAAAATTGATTGAAAATGATAGATAATTAAAATTATGTAAGGTCGTGAATAACGAATTAAAATTGATGTAATGTTTAAAAATCATTGATTAATATTATATTAAATTATATTGATAACATATAGGACAGTTTGATGACTTAAATTCGAGTTGAGTGTTAAATTAAAAATATTATCTCGTCAGTAACAACCGGATTTATTTCTAATCAGGCTCTTAATCAATCTAATCATCTCAACGTAATTTTTATCAGTTGTCGCGTATTTAATCAACCCATACCCTTGAAAAAAACAAAAAACAAGAGCAGAGCTATTTGCCGATTAAATATTGCCATGATACCTTTACCCAGCATGAGATAGCAAATTAACCTTTTTACAGGCGCTGCAAACAGAAGTCTTTACAACTATCACTGAAACTGCAGAGGAGTTCATCGTGCAGAACAGAAGACAATCATGGTGCTAAGCTAGAGAACATTTAATCCTAGCCACTGATTAACAAAATAATGTAAGATACTACATTTAGTCATTTAGCAAGTAAACCACACTGGAAGTTTAGTCTTCAAAGTCAATCAAGTATAGGAAAGCAATCAATTGTAAGATTATAAAGTAAACCGTGACAGATAGAAAGAAGAAATAGAGACACATGCAAGAAATTCGATTACTGTAAGATCCTATGGTTGTATATATTTGTTTGACACAAATACAGTATGATCACAAACTTATATTATATGAAAAAAAAAAAAAAAAGTTTTATTTATCTCAGCAAAAGAACAAACAGCATAGTCAAGCGTTTGTGTATTCAATTTCTCCATCACCACCTTATCTATTCACATAAAAGGCCTTCCATCGCCACCCAAAGAACGATACACATATAGACCAAAAGAACCTTACTTCAGAATCATTCTATATCGATATCTAGGGTTTTCGCATAATAGACTAACAGTAAGGACATACGCAAAACACACGACAGAGAGTGAGAGAGAGAGAGAGAGAAAACGGAAAAGACCCAACATACAATTTCAAGGAGACACGTTTTAAGATCACGTGATCATGCTACAAGAACGAGCCAACCGAAAAATCAAGCTGCCTCCATCAAGTGTTGCCTCCCCCTCGACAGGTTTACACTCATACTTCTTCCTGCAGCCAGGGCAACGGCCATCCTCCTCAAGAATCCTCTTGTGACAGAACAAACACAGCCTAAACCCGCAAGTACACGGGAGAAAACTCGAATCTGTACAATCGAAATCCTCAAAGCATATCGGGCATGAAGTGGGGTCCGGCCCAACATTCTTGCATCCCCAAACCGAACCTCGTCCAAAGTGCAGCTCTGAATTCAAGGGTAAGCTATACTGCTTCGAAAGATTAGGCAAGTTCTGGGGGCGGCAAGTATCGTCTGGCCGCCAAGCACAGCGATTGACCAAAATACCCTTTTTCCCTCCATTCTCCGAGCGCGCGCTTAAATTATCGACCCCCATAGCAGTTTCATGCTTTGGTGAGGGTAAATCTTGATGCTTTTTATCTTTAGCCTCTAAAGCATCGGCCACGGCTTCCCAATCATCCAGGCAATCATCATCATCATCATCATCATCATCATCTTCACCACCAGCTTCCCGGCCATCTTCATCGTCACTGTAGCTTCTGCCATTGCTGCTGCTGCTACTGCTCCGGCCACTGCTGCTACTGCTTCTGCTGCTGGCGGTGAAATTGACCCCAGAATCATTACTGCACAATACACTACTTGTGTGGCTATTGGGGCTGTTGGAAGGCAGGGATTCCGAGTCACTGTAGTTATGAATTGATGGTTCATAGATTTCCTCGTTACACGTTTTTATCTCGAGCTTCTCTACAGGTTCACCCTTAGTGCTCTGCAAATGCACTGGTGGGACTTCGTGAGAAGCCCAGCCATTGGTTGTTCCCTCTTTGCACCCACCCTTTTTTTTCACTGAAAGTTTAGAGAAACGCAACAACCCTCAATCAGCAAGTAAATAATATATGAAATGAGCCGAGAGGCCCGAGATCCATTTTTTGCTCAAATTGAACATGCATCCAGTAGATCAAAAGAAATTGAATGAAAATTGAAAACTTTGAAGGATATAAGCTATAAGAGTAACATTGTAATCAATTACTGGTGTATGTATGTATCTATGAGACAAGAAAGCCAGATCTTTCACAAACCTTGAGAAAGCCACTGCTCACGGCGGACATCGAGCTTGCTCTGCTTTAGCTTTGCTGAGCGGTTTGCCTGAATAGAAAATTAATTGACGAAATCAGGAAAAATATAGTAAATTTCCCATAAACCTTCAACCGATAATTGAAATTAAAGTGTTCACTATTGAAGACCAGGAAGGAGTAATCAATAACAAAAAAACAAAATACAACTTTATTGGAAAAATTTCCAGTATTAATTAGAGAAAGCAACAACAAAAAAAAGGAACAGGAACGGACACAGGGAACCAATAGATAAAATTGAGCCCAGCCTATTCAGGAATTTCCCCAAAATAAAACAAAAACAAAAACATCAACCCTCAATCCGACCCCCAAAAATCTAAAACCCCAATCAATCAAGAGAAATAGACGGGCCCAATGCACATCAAATGATTTCTCAAAAAAAAACTTAAATCCGAAAAAAATTACCCTCTTCTTCTTGGAGAAATCCTTGGAGAGGTTCAACGAGGCCACAGCAACGGAGGCGTTGGGGATCGAATCAGACATCTTCGCTGAGTCAACTCGTTCGCTAGCCGGAAAAAAACCCTAAGATTGATCAGAGATACGCTGGAGAGATAGAGAGAAAAATGTGGATAACGGGAACTGCTCTGCTTTCGCTCCAACCCTTTCNATTTATAAAGTTTTGTGCTTTGTAGTTTGTACTACTTTGCTAGGGTTTCTTGAAATTCATGACTACTAAACATGGCTGTTTTAGAGGTTCTCGAGCCTAAATATTAATTTAGGTTGATTTTAATATAAAGTATCAATTTTTTATATTTTTATTTCTATATATAATATAGATATATTAATAAAAATATAATAATTTTAGTATAAATATCCAACATGTTGGGAATATACTGGGTATGTTGTTGTTAGTATAAATATGTTTTTTTTTTTACTATTGTCCCAACTAACAATTAAAGGAAAATGCTCCAATCCCGTTACGGAACCATTCCGTTGGGATTGTAACCGTTAGATCATCAAGTAACCGTCAATGATAATTGATCTAACGGTTACAAATTCCAACAAAATGATTCCGTAACGGGATTGTAGGCTTACCCACAATTAAATATCATCACACCAGAATGTATTCTTTGAATACCATTGCGGAAAATTAGGCCATCGGCGTCTAACCATTAGATTGACATTATTTTTAATAATATGTATACTTTCTCTGCAAAATATTATATTTAAAAAATATATATAAATAAAAATATGATATTTAATAATATAGGCATATATTTTTATTCACAGAGAGATAAGGATTGATGAATCAACTTTGCCTAACTATTAGACCTGTTAGATTAAATATGAGTTATGTATTGGTGTCTTCTACTACACATTCATATAACTGGAAGTATACTGCAATAAAGTAAACACTAAACTGTGTCTTTAATCTAAGGTATACCTCTGATGAGACAAAAATAAATAATCATACTTAATAGTTTCTTAAAGAAAGTTCACAGGTTTATCGAATTTGATGCTTAACAAAGTTTATTGTTAAAAAACAAAAGAAATAAAAAATGACGTTTTCCAATTCAAGCATTAAATGAGTAATTAATGAAGTAATTAGTAATCACCCTGTAAAATGCAATTGTGTATATCACTAGTTTCTTTTTTTTTAATCGATGAATTATTACATATCTATAAGTTATTTTGATTGTGATTAAATTTATTGGATAACTAGAGTTAGTTTTAAAAAATATTGATTGAGTTAAGTTTGAACTTAAATTTAAGGTTGTAATTAAATAATATTCCAAATATAATGATTAAAGTTATAGGAGAGATTTGATTTGAAATCATTAGTAGTTAAAAATATGTGAGCATATTAATAATTAACTTAAGTTGATATAACATGTAAAGATGACTGATTTGTATTATCTAATATATTATATTGATAATGTTAATGGAAATTGGATTGAGATAGGTGTCATTTAAATTTTAGGTTAAAAGAAATATTTGGTCAAAAGTGACCATATAATTTATATCCAATCGGCCCTGTAAAACTCGATCGTGTAGGTACATGTGAACCAACGAAGAATACCTCCATGAACCTTTATCCATATGAACTTTACCAGTTAAGAAATTTAACGTTATTTGCTGGTCATATGATGCAAAAGTCGTTCTAATATGTGTAATCAGTATATTTTGTATAGATATGATCAGACGATAGAAACTTGATCATGTAAGTGTGATTAAATAGTGAAAAATGGAACATCTTTTCTTATAATCTTTGCCAATTAAGATATTTAACATTGATTTTTGTAATAGGGAATATTAAAAAAAACAGCTAATTAAAGTCCACGAGTGTGTGTGTGTGTGTGTGTGTGTCAGAAAGAGATTTCTGCTTTTACACACGTAGAGGCATTTGTTTACACATATGAGGGTCGGTGGATTATACAATAAAAGCCACAAAGTTTTGTACTTTGGATTGGAAATTACAATTCAATGACATCTCATATTTTCAATCACACGAAACATAATCTAATGTACATGCACGTACGTATTTTTATTTTTATTTTTTGTTTTGTTTATCACATTGTAAAAAGTATAAATATAAATAAAAAAGATAAATATAGATCATGAGATATTTTAAATTGATTTGATTAATTGGCTGAATTGAACGGTCAATACGGTTTTGTTTAGGATATAACATGACAATAAAATAAAAGAATCAATCGATCCAATTTTGTTAAAAAATATTAAAATAATAAAAACAATAATTGATAGTCAATACGTTAACAAATTTGTAGGTACCTTTACTAAAAATTATCTAGTAATAATACTTTTTATTATTTAAATGTGATGACAAAATTGAGTGTAAATGAATAATTAATTTTTTAAAAAACAAATGTATACAACCGTAGATTTAACTGAAAAAATAAATTATTCACCGAGACAAAAACAGGAAAAAACTTGTATNTTCTCACCATAAACAATAAATACTGCAAACTCAGCTCTAAAATTTTGCAATCTCAGTGAGTTCACCAAAAAGGATTGAAAAACCCAAAAAAATCATAGAATAATCAAACACCCTAATAATATGCCTGAGGCTACAAAAAAGTTTCATAGTTCATAAAACAATCAACACCCTAATAATGTGCCTTTAGGCCAAAAAAGAGCCACAAATGTCAAAAGCCGCGCACAGGAAAATACGCAAAAGGTACACAGATACTCGAGACTGCGAATCATACCAGTTGCATCACACAATCCTTTAGGAAAACGAAAGATTTAACACTCGACTGTTCACATCTCAAGGGATCAATCAACTGAATTATCGTTAGAGCCGAATTTTCTGTGTCTATGATATGTATCTATCTTGCTGTTCTTGGAGAAGCTTTGCAGATGATTTGGCATCGAGATAGAGAGAACTCACTTCTTCAAGATCCGCCTGCAAAAAATTAAAAAATAAAAATAAATATTATTATTTAAGCTTTTTTCTCCTAATAATCGTTTATATCATATACTTGCAAAGATCAATAATCAGAATATGGTGTTTACCTTGCAAATACTATCACGACCGTTCATTTTAGCAACTATGCTAGCAGGGGATAACAGCTGAACGGCATGCCTGAGGAAAAATCACAAATCAGATTAAAAATTAAACAGGGGTAAATCACAAAATCGACCATCACTGAAATCGAAACATATAGCTGATTTGTCAAAGGTTTCCTCGAGATTTGTATTATCTAGTAAATAACCTCTTCAAAAAAGGTACAATTGTCTAAAATAGAATCAATTGTCATGCAGTTGCTTCTTAGTTCTTACATTTTTTGTCTTGGAAGGTATCTTTAATAAATCTGTTAATGCAGAGAGAGAGAGAGAGAGGGAGAACCTCAAAGATGCTTGTTGTCCGAGCTCTCCAAGATAAGCCAGACTTTCCTCGTCTATGCCGAGTTCCTCTACCTGTGCTCGGATAGCTAAAATCTGACCAAAAAATGAAAAATAATTTTTCATGAGGAAACAAAAAGAAAAACAATTAGAAATTTGGAAACTACAAAATACAAATCAAGTTCTGAAAGTTGATATCTAACCTGTATCATTTCAGCCGGGCCATATGTTTCGGTTCTTATAATAACCAAACGGTCCAACAAGTCAACAGGTATACCATGAGGACTAGTCATATCTGTTCCTCTGCAAGACAATCATTTTTTTTTTCCTTTAATGTGTACATATTCTTCTTATAATTAGTAATTATTATTTTGTAATGTCAGTGAACCAAAATTTTACCTGACATTACAAATTCCTCGATTCGTGGCAAAAATGACGATGGGAGATAGAGAACTTTCTAAAGCACGATTCAAATAAGAAAAGCACTCCATATCAAGCATGTGCACCTGAATTATCCTTATTGGGTAAGGAAAAATAAAAAATAAAAATGCACACATGCAGTTAAGGATTAAAATTGACATTCATTTAAAAAAGAGAACAACAAACCTCATCGATAAACAATACGCCTGGAACGAGTTCAGCCACGCCTTCATCTATGTACCGATTCACCACCTGCAATTTGTTTAACCATATAAGACAAAATTTCCTATATAATTCCAATTGAATACAGAACTACAAAATTTTTCAATAAATGTACACAAGAAACCTTATTTATCTCCTGCCGAAGCTTATCAGTGATTTCAGTTTTTCTGGGTTTCATCATCTGACCCATGAGGGACAATATATCTTGCCCTCCTTGGGGCCGTGCATTTGCAGCATCAAGGTCATGCAATGTAACATCCTAAATAATAGAGACATTCATAAGATTATTCACAACCAATCCCCAAAAACATTATTTTTCACAACGAATTCACCGTAAGGGCAGAAAAGCAAGACACTAAAAAAGAAACCCAATAACCATGTGATTCAAAAGTTAAGAATCAAATTTCAACTGACACACTTAAAATATTGCTCTGCACATAATTAAAATGTTTTCTTTACACGCACAATGTTCAAAAAATATGTAAAACAGAAGATTACAAATAGAAACAGAGGTATATATAGTCTGAGGGCCATTTTCATCGCCCATAAACAACTGGATAGTTGAAGCAAACGAACTCAGTTGAGCTAAATCATACAGTTTTTTGGGTTTAACTGCCCAAAGCATATTTTTGCAAAGCATAGGCACAAACCTGGACAATCTCCTTCTTTTTGTGAACCTCTCCTTTAGGAAGTGGTACATATTCTTCTGCCTCGAGATCAAACTCAGTAGCAAAAGCATCACTCCTTCCCACCCTTTTCACTGCTCCACTATTTGCTTCAATGTATATAACATCACCAACAGCTACCTGCATTTCTTGAGAAAATTAAACTCAATATCATAAATAGGACATGCAAAAAGATCTACTAAGAATAGGAGATCATCCATGCAATACATTACGAATCAGTATATGCAATATAAAAAGTTCACCTTTTCCTTTATCAAGGCATCATAAATTGTTGGGTCCAACTTCAGTTGCTTGGTTCCTTTAACAGTTTTCAGCCCAATTATGACATGGCTTATACTTTTACCATATCCACCAGTCACACTCTCAGTTTCTTCTGGGGACAGTTCAGTAACCTGTAACATAAGTAGCACAAACTGATTTAAAAATTGGAAAATAAAATAAAATTATCATTTCCGTACAAAAAAACCCTGAGAAAACCAGACAAACAATGTTTGTTTTAACAATTTTTCTCATAATGGAGTAGCTCACCTCTCCCTCATAAACCTCTTTGTTTTCTTTAATACGGAGACCAATAGCTCGACGGAAATTCTCCATTAACACCTCAGTCTTCTTTACTTCCGATGAATACACTTCTGATCCAACCATTGGGCAAAATGGAACCTGCACCGTTGATGTAAGGCACGTAATTTTGTAGGCTACCAACTAACATCAGAAAACTTAAACACCAGTAATAAAAGCTGGTACTAATAGCAAGTTAAGATAGCAATCTAGCTGCAAAAAAAAAAAGGTAAGAAAACAATAGAGCTCAAGAACTTGTAGCCAAATTATGTACATTGACCTTTACAGGGATAAGATTATGGGTATATAAGGAATTGTTACAATTTCTAATTCCAAACTGCTCCGAAATTTAAATCATCTTCGTCTAGTGAGTAGTCAATGAAAATTGAAACAATTCCAATTTTTGCTGATTCACAAAACAGAATTTTGGAAACACAGCCAGACAATTTTCCAAAACATTTAAAAAAATCCATACGAAGACAAGCTTTATAAAACTACAATGATGCAAGTCTATTGGAAAAGCACATTTTACGACTTATCAACAAGTGCGGTGAATTGTAAAATTAACTTATTCTCATAGTTCATTATCAGTACTTGAATTTTCAAACCAACTTCTTCTCGTAATTCATTTTCAAAAAAGTCTGGATTCTGCTGATAGTATTACCTTGCTGCCGAGTTCTTGCGAAATTCCAAGAGCAAGAGCAGTTTTTCCAGTACCAGGTGGGCCAGCGAATAATAAGGCACGCCCAGCCATCTTCTTTTGCCGAATCATATCAACCACAAGCCCAGAAGCTTCTCTCGCTGAAGCTTGACCCACAAATCCAGCAGCCAAAGGTACTGCTTTTCCATTCGGCTTCAAACATAATAGCCATCAGTATTCAAGCCCAAATCAGTTGAAAGAAAGATCATTTGATTTGCTCACATTGCAGTATAATCACACGAATGATAAAAATCTAATCTTTAACACTAATTTTCTGATTTCTACTTTTCCAGTTTCCTCTTGTTTTTCAACTTATGATGCAAATTCCACAACAAACAATCAACACTATGACAACACAATGAGATATTGCTGACATACTCCAAAAATTATATCTTCACCAAATACTCAAAAACAGCAAAACCCTAGTTCTTAAACCCCATAAACACCAAACCCAAAAGGTCTAATTTTTAGTACACGACGAGTTACTAGCTAAAAACAATAATAACTGAAGGTTCCAAAACACAAAAATTTAGTATTTACGCATCAAAACAGGAACAAGATAATCAAAATAGTCAATGAAATATTTATTGTAAGTTACCTCAAGGCCGAGGCCTTTAATATGAGTATGAGTGGCTATCCTCTGCTTCTTCGTGGTCGACTGAACTTCTTCGATCTTCATTCTGCTCTTCCTTCAATTTTTCACCTTTTTCCCTTTCTTCTTGATTTTCTCTTTTTTCTTTTTTTTTTTTTCACCCAC